TAGTGTAAGTTTCAGTGATCAGGGGCACGCCAATAGTGAACTGTGTGTCACGGCAGGAATAGTGTAAGTTTCAGTGATCAGGGGCACGCCAATAGTGAACTGTGTGTCACGGCAGGACTGATGTAAGTTTCGGTGATCAGGGGCACGCCAATAGTGAACTGTGTGTCACGGCAGGAATAGTGTAAGTTTCAGTGATCAGGGGCACGCCAATAGTGAACTGCGTGTCACGGCAGGACTGATGTAAGTTTCGGTGATCAGGGGCACGCCAATAGTGAACTGTGTGTCACGGCAGGACTGATGTAAGTTTCGGTGATCAGGGGCACGCCAATAGTGAACTGTGTGTCACGGCAGGAATAGTGTAAGTTTCAGTGATCAGGGGCACGCCAATAGTGAACTGCGTGTCACGGCAGGACTGATGTAAGTTTCGGTGATCAGGGGCACGCCAATAGTGAACTGTGTGTCACGGCAGGACTGATGTAAGTTTCGGTGATCAGGGGCACGCCAATAGTGAACTGTGTGTCACGGCAGGAATATGTAAGTTTCGTGATCAGGGGCACGCCAATAGTGAACTGCGTGTCACGGCAGGACTGATGTAAGTTTCGGTGATCAGGGGCACGCCAATAGTGAACTGTGTGTCACGCAGGAATATGTAAGTTTCAGTGATCAGGGGCACGCCAATAGTGAACTGTGTGTCACGGCAGGAATAGTGTAAGTTTCAGTGATCAGGGGCACGCCAATAGTGAACTGCGTGTCACGGCAGGACTGATGTAAGTTTCGGTGATCAGGGGCACGCCAATAGTGAACTGTGTGTCACGGCAGGACTGATGTAAGTTTCGGTGATCAGGGGCACGCCAATAGTGAACTGTGTGTCACGGCAGGACTGATGTAAGTTTCGGTGATCAGGGGCACGCCAATAGTGAACTGTGTGTCACGGCAGGACTGATGTAAGTTTCGGTGATCAGGGGCACGCCAATAGTGAACTGTGTGTCACGGCAGGACTGATGTAAGTTTCGGTGATCAGGGGCACGCCAATAGTGAACTGTGTGTCACGGCAGGACTGATGTAAGTTTCGGTGATCAGGGGCACGCCAATAGTGAACTGTGTGTCACGGCAGGACTGATGTAAGTTTCGGTGATCAGGGGCACGCCAATAGTGAACTGTGTGTCACGGCAGGACTGATGTAAGTTTCGGTGATCAGGGGCACGCCAATAGTGAACTGTGTGTCACGGCAGGACTGATGTAAGTTTCGGTGATCAGGGGCACGCCAATAGTGAACTGTGTGTCATGGCAGGACTGATGTGAGTTTCGCCTTCGACGATACGATCATGGAACAAGCAGGGCACTGCTGATAAGAGTGCACAAACAGACCACAATGCAACCGAGGACCACGGCGTACTGACCGGAAGTCGCGGTAAGGTCAGAGCAACATGCACGGATGAATATATCTGTATGCATGTACGTATGTAAATGGCTTCCATATATGCATTATATATATATATATATATATATATATATATATATATATATATATATATATATATATATATACATATACAAAATTAATATGTCATGAACTGTAATTGCTAAATCGCGGATAGCGGGACTTGAAACAAACGTGCTGATAAGCTTTACAGGGAAGTTTACAAACAATAAAGCCGTTGCTATAGTCAACCAAGTTATGATGTTTTTGTTAGTGTGAAAGAGTGTTCAATAGAATTCGTTAGCAAACCAGGACAACTTAAAAAAGGTGGTTTGAAACCTATTCAATACGCCCAAAATACCAAAGCAAACCCACTACATTCGTGATTGCAATTTGTCTTCGAGTGTCAGACGTATCATGGTATTTGTCAAACGCATAATAAATCGCGAAGTGAAACTCTTTACCTAAATATTTCGCATTTCACACGCTTTTACACGCATCCTCGCTAAAAGGAAAGCATACGCGTCCCGCGGACACAAATAATCAAATACTTGCACACGAAATAAAATCACAGATCATTTGTCATGTTCATATTACGTCTTTGCAAAATCACTTCTAAGCTCAAAAGAGACCGGCTGGTCGCGCTAATGTGCATGGTGGATCTAACCATCTCACGATGGGGCCATTTTTACATTTACACCCGATGAGAACGGCTGATAGGCCCCCTCCTCAACTTTTGAACAACGACAGGTAGAGAACCGGAAAAAGACCGGCGTCCTGTTTGTGGTATAGATTATTCTAACGATGCCCAGTTTTTTTTTTGTTCCAGGTCAACAAAGCCCGGTTTTATGGAAAACGGAATTACCTGAAAGGGGCCACGCCAGTAATGAGACTTTATGTTCTAGCCAGTATGAGTTCCAAATGTAAAACAAAAAGGGATTAGATAGGCCCAGTGTGTACCTTGCCTTCTCCCCAGTCCGAAAATGTCCGGATTTGGAAACCTAAGATGATCTTTACGAATGAGTTACAGGTCATAAATTGTTGGATAAAAGAGCTGAAAAGCTGACAATATGGGTAGAGAATCTAAAATACTCAGCACTGAAGATCAGACTAACTTCTTTAACAGTTACCAAGTTATTCACGAAAAGCATCAGGTGAGGCCTGTCAGCCCGTCCACTCGTCGGCCGAGGGCTAATGTTCCAAATGCACACCATTTTCTTTCTAATTTAGAACAAGTTTTCGTTCTACAGGGCGATAATATTTGCACGACATTTTCACAACAGCTGCCACTTCAGAAAGATTATCAAAATTATGGTGAGCATGAAAACAAAGCCCATCGAGTTTAATGATATCCTTACAGGTGGCGTTGCGATGATCGAGAAATCACTCTGTCAATGATCGTACCCATTACACTGGATGAGCTGACTCAAAACACTACGGTGTTGGCCGCGCAAGTTTTTCAAAGCCAGACCTTAAGTAATATAGCGGGGGGGGGGGAGGGGATATCAAGTATTACAGTAGCACATTTCTTGTTAGCGATTTAGTATGTGCTTGACATAGCGCATAATTCGGCAGTCACCCATCAAAAGGATTGCAATCCGATGTATACTGGCGTTCTTTTACCACATTTCGTGTCTTTGTCTAACATAAGTTTCAAGTAAACATGGTCCGTACGTGATTAACTGTCAACTGACTTTAAGAAGGTTTGAATTGCATTCGCGCAAACCTGTACCGGATCAACGCTAGTTACCCGCCCTTTCAAAGCAACTTATACGGCAATTTCCTTGAAGGCAATGCCAAACAATGCGGAAACCCCACGTCCAAAACCCACTATCCATCCAAGATACCACATAACCGCATCAATCATCAACGACTCCTAATCTTTGACACAGACTCGCACTATACAACGCCACGTGGCTTAGCAGACCGTCACTCGTGTGAACGTCGCCCGTGTGACCGTCACTCGTGTGACCGTTACCTGGCTACCTGCCTTGGGCACAGACACATACGCAGTACGCATGCCAATGTAATCCATTTGTATATCATGCATAAAAGAAAACTCTACAAAGCAACCAACATATAATCGGAGCAAACTACGCCCACTCATCATCCCAGGACGCCGGAGCTGGCGGGTTAGTGAGTACCGAGCAGGCGTCGATGGTAAGCACGCATGAGCACACCCCGGATAGACACCGTGCCACGCTCAGTCTCCGTTTCGATGCGGACTTTTGTGCCGGCTGTGCACCAGACAATGAGACGGGACCCTGACAGAGCTCGGGATAACGTTCCCGCCGGGGCCGAGGTCGAGAATAAGACCCGAGCGCTGTCAGCTTTGCACCGGACAATGGGACGGGACCCCAACAGAGCTCGCGGTAACGTTCCCGCCGCGTCCGAGGTCGAGAATGAGACCCGAGCGCTATCGGCTGTCCTTACTGACAACGCCTACATCTGAAAGCCTGGAGCTGTGACCGAACAACTAGAAGAAGTGAGTGGCTTATGTGAAAGCATGACGAATGAATAGTGCCTAAAGGTCGGCCAAACTGGTAGAAGATATGCGTTGGTCAAACCACATTTTTGATCGGGGACATCACATGCAGAAAGATATGGTCGGAAGTGCTCTTGCACGGCACACGAAAATATGACAGCCTGATTTTATTTGCTAGTGAGGAAGAGCGCACAGGTGAGTACGGATATGGCAGCCGGTAGCCGGTGAAGAGCACACAGGTGAACAGGCTGGTGCCCAGAGCACCGCCAGTCCCAGGGCGGTCAGCTGAGCTTCTTCTGGGGTTTTCATAAGGAGACGACTCACCTGAAGCGCTTTGAAACTCACGGTAGGGAAAGAAGATCATCGTGCGTTGAATAGCGGGAACGCAGCGGAAGAGCAGAGGCACAGTAACATAGAATACCATGACTAGGCATGTCGTGGCCACGAAAAGATGCTTTTCGGAACTGAAAACGATGAGCATGTATTTTGTTATTGTAAAGACTTTGAGTGCGCCTGAAAAAGTAAACGATGCAATTCTGCACTAAAGAGCATCTTATGCTGCCAGCAGCCTTACGTGACGGTACGGGATTTCTGCCTTAGCGTTGTGGATTGACTCCTTGGAGTGGCCCTGTTTTGAAATCTGAATGACTTGCCGGAGGCAATGCGACAGCTGCATGACATAGATCAAGCTTAGAAAGGTCAAATACGTAGCCCTTTGGCTTCGCATTGGTTCCTAGCACGCAACACGCCCTTGCATTGCCCGCACTCAAAATGCATTTTGCATGTCATGATCCTTGAACCCAGCTAATGAATGCCTCAGTGTGGTTTGCACGCCGTCTTTTGCAAAACCCTTTGAGCGTGGTAAGACACATTGTGTAATTGACCATAATTTCTGGCACCTCGACACGTGAGAAGGGCAACATCGAAGTTGGCAGGCATCATTTAAGTCAAACACTGAAACACGCTGACAGGCCAGGAATCATCTGACCCGGGCCATCTGATAAACTCGCAAAGTTCTGTTTGACTTGACTAAGGATTAATATATTTGCTCGTATCGTGTGGACAAGTGTCGTCGGGCCGAGGTCTGCCACTCACACATGGGCGCCGAAGTGCAGGACTAGAAGACCGAGCAGGTAGAACAGGAGCTTCGTCATGCCGGTGGCGCAGCGGGCTGGCGTCGCCCGAGCGGGGACGGGCCGCTGCAGAAGCCTCCTGGCCACCGCCTCCGGGGGTGGGGAGGGGCATCACGCGTTGTGCCAGACGGAGCGGCCAACCCTGCAGCCGATGACCGATAGCTCACGGGTGGAATACGGCGCGTGGCTGTGGGACGGGCGGCGGCAGCGGCCACGGCGTGATACGGCACTAGCCGTTCCGCGTCCGCACGCCCGGCGGCCGGTGGGGGCGCCGCCATAGCCAGCGTTTAGCCACCGGAACGGAGCTGTGCTGCTGTCTATTGCCACCGAGCACACCGTTCGCAAGAACTCTCAAAAGCTTGAGGCTTAGTGGTTTTGGAGAAATCCAAGAGCATGACGTGTATTGCCTGTGTGGCAAATACCTTGCAAGTGCAGGACTGACGTATGTGTTCACGCTCTCCGAAATGAAAAAGCCAATGACGATGGACACCTTCTTTACAGTTGATCCTTGGGCTGCTGTAGATCAATCACAAATGCTTCTCGAAACGAAGTTATCTAGCACTAGGTCGGAACAGCGCAGGAACGGCTAATGAATCCAAAATTAAATCGATTCCACACTGAAACGCATCAGTAAGTTGGGAGTGGGTCAGAATGGACGTCTTTCAGAAGTCACCCGCGCGAAGCCAGCCTGTGCTGTCAGCCTCCTTGCCGTGTTTGAGTGAACGAACTTGCAAACTTCTGGAATCAAGCTTAGCTTGAACCTGTCTAAGCTCGGGTGTAAACTTGCCAAAGCGCCCAGCATTTCACACCTGTGAATCCAAACACACGGATGCACTGGGGAGTATATTAGTGCCTTTGGCCCACAAAACCATGCACGCTCATTCCAGTCACCTGTAGTCCAGAAGTCTGAGCACAAAGTTGAGTGTAGTCTGACCATGAATGATACATCATCTCGAAATAGACACCGCAGCACCAACTATGCACTACGCCAACATGAGAATGCAAATGTTAAGATCAGTTGGCTTGCTGTTCTCGCTACTTCGTGCTGTAAATTTCGCCCTCAGTACGTGACTTCTAGTGGACTATACAAAGCGACGTGCATCCCGCCTAGGCTTATGATGCTGTGGTACATCAGCTACACTCATCATGTCTTGCGCCTATACACGTCTACAGTTACGTAAGTCACTTGAAACCTGCGTCCGCAACATACAGTCACTAAACGATAGACACATATCGATAGCAGCCTGAGCGTCTCCAGCCACCTTCCAGTGGCTTGTGCGGACAGTAGGCATGAGTGGTGACTGACTGACTGCTGCTGCCGCCGATCTCAGTTTGGCGTGGCGGGCTGACGAACAGGATTGCGCCGAGATTTCGGTCAGACTGGAAATGCGTGTTGCGTGGCGAGCTGCATTTAAGATGCGTACGTGCTTGTAGGCCCGGGGAAGGGATGAACTTTGCAGGCTGACTTCTTGCTGACGCACCACGCCGTGCATCCACATCCTATCTGATTTTATATTCAACAACCGTGAGGCAGCAAGCAAGCGCGGGGCCCAGGCCGGCTGGGACTCAGCCCCAGCCTGCAGCCAGGGGGGGGGGGAGGGGGGCGAGGGCCGCCGTTCACGTTCGCGTCCCCTCCCTGCCGTCACAGGTGCGCAGCGTTGCAGGAAGGCTGGGGAAGACGTGAAGGCTGCCAGGCCTCGATCGAATTCCAGCCCATGCATCGGTCGTTGACGGCAAGACCGCTTCATCAAGCAGTTATGCTGGATTAAAACTCATCCATCTTGAATACCCTGTGCCAAGGCTATATCGGTAGCGCAGGGCATTCGAGCTGGCATAGGAGGGTATACAACTGGCCGCTGCACTGAGAAACGCACTAGTTACATATGCTGGCTTGTGCTAGTTCTGACCACTATCTTTTGCCAGCCGTTTGATTTATGCAGTGTGATGTCTGTGCCGGCCACGTGCTGGTAACCATGTCACTGAAGACGCGCCATTGAACGTCGCTACAGCTCTGCCGATCGACCAATAAACGCTCTAACGCATAAATTTGCTCAGGCAACTACGTGAAGTGTATATATCTGGGAAACAGTCACACCGACATCACTGCGTGATAATTAACTAGGAAGATTTTACCGTGCGGGGAGGTAGCAAACGTATACATCCTAGTTAACTCTGACCCATAGCGTAACATCAATTGAGTACACAAATTAATATTGGATAAATTGAGCTACCCACAGTGTAAAATATGAAAGTGTGCCAGCTTTCGGAGTATACACGACACTGCTGAGGCACGACGACATCGCTTACCATCGCTTACCAGCAGCAAGTTTGCTACCATTGTACAGAGAGCGGTAACCTTGAGCCTACAGAGCTGTATCGGCTATACAGTCATGGCTCTGTGTCGCCTATGGTCTAAACAACAACTCTCGTAGGTTGCCCGTGGTCAATCATCGTGAGCTACGTCGTGTAAGATGAAGACGCAGAGAAGCAATGTATAGAGGTACGTGCCTACATGCTGTTAAAAAAAACATGGTGCCATTTTCTAGCTACCTAACCAAGCATGACACAACCAGTCCCGTGTAATTCTGACCATCAATTTCTGCGATATCGGCCGACCTTTGTACTAGTACCTGGGCGTGTGTTATGTGTGCGATGAAACGCAATATGTACGCCAGTTCTTTTAGTTTATTGTCCAGCTTTTTGCAAGATGCAGGTGCCGGCCTGCCGTTGCTATCCGTCTACAAACTTCTACGGTACAAACCGGACGTGGACCATTTTACTAGAACCGACCAGTTGATTCTAAACCTCTAATATTTACAACCGTTTAACATAAAGTGCCGCTGGACCTCCATTGTTGGATCTGATGAACGGCTTTTGACTAGAAACTCATTGGCTGTTGTTGGCTTGATATATGGAACATCCTCCCACTAACGACCTAAGAATGGGTGAGTAGCGCCGACAATGGCATAACTATCTGCTCCGTTAAACGGCCATCGATACGTCATTCAGGCGAAAGAGCTGGCGTCTCGTTTCTTATGCGCGTCCAAATGGCCAACCGGTGGCTTTCAAGGTCGTGGCAAAATTTCATTTAAATTCGCAGTAAAGAGCATCAGTTATTGGCAATGGTTCGTACCTGCCACCGTTAATAAATATGTGGCCGTAGTTGCTTATAAATTTGATGTGTGCTCTGCAGTTTACAAACTCAGAACCGATGAGCGCAAGGTACACCTTTGGAGACATTTCTACTGTTCGTTTTTGTCAACGGCGCATGTAATGGAGAGTAACTTAAAACAACACTAGACATTCACGACTAGCGTACAGCAATCTACATAATGGTTTGTGTTAGCCGGGCGTCACCTTAGAACGTAGTTACGTTGTCAAGTGACAGGAATGCCCATAACAATACGGTATTCGCGGAGAGGTGAAGCACTGATGTCTCCCTCAAATGCGAGAAAAGAAATGTGACCGTATTCTCAGACGCAAAAACGCTTCCGGCAATTTAAGCCGCTTGGCAACGTCATGTATATTAGCAGTTTCAATCTGTAGTTTGAAGGACAGCTGACATCAGTCAACTAGTTTTCGGACATTGCGTATGCTGTAACCCCACCTAAACAGTTGAAAGGTCATCTTTCAGTTCGATGCCATATATGGGCGAAAATGTTCCAAATTTGAAGAGATGAGATCTTCAAAGTTTATACACGCTATTTCGAATATCGTGATCTGTTCAGCGTACGTTCATGTGAGCCGTTAACCTATTTTTAAGCAAAAATTTATTGCATTTTCATCGCTCCTGGGAAGCCGGGAAGACCTGTGGCATTCCATTCTGGCATGGGTGAAGCGAGAGTCTTGAGAAATTACCTTTTTGACTGTTCGGGCGCCAGCTCGATTGCACGATATCACCCGCTTTTGGTTCACGCTCTCTCCAGACGTACAAGAACATCACTTGTAATAATAGCCGCATGCTTTTCGCACCTGTCACAAGCAGTAAGGCAACCGATGAACTAACTCGTTAGACCCACGTCACCATTTCATCAATGACATTTGGCACTGGTCTGCTTCAGCGTCATTCCCTGTCCATTCCTCTTCTTGACCGCCTTTGACGCCACTCGACCGTTAGCGCTCTTGCCTCTGTTGCGCCTTACGCCGTTTTTCTCCTCGCGAGCGCCGTTCTGGGCCGGCGCGGCCTTGACCTTGGGTGGCTTATCCTTGAGCCGGCCGATGCCGGTCGGGTCCCAGGTCAAGGTCAGAATCTGGCGAATGAGCATCTGCTCGCTGACCAGGCAGGCGACATACCAAAGTGGCGCGAACTCCAGCGCGATCAGGCCGTGGATGTTGTACTGCAGCTCGGTGTAGTCCCACGGCCGGGCGCCGAAGAAGTCCAGCACACGGCCCGTGCTGTATTCCCACGTGTACGTCCAGGTCACGTACACCGCTCCACGTGCCAGCAGCGGCACAGAGCCGCGCATGCGCAGAAACAGGCGTTCGTTGACGAACACTCCTACGGCGTAGATGAAAAGGGACCAGACGCTGGTACAGCCTGAAAGACGGGAGAAGTGTGGTCGGGAAAATAGTTCACACTGAGGCACAGACAAATTTGTAAATAAACGTCACACACCCAACCAACCCTCTATCGCTCCTTACACGGACAAAGTCGACGCAGGAAGGATGCGAAGAAATAAAACGTGACGAAAAATGCAAAACGAACAAGAGCATTGCAACAGAGCTGGCATATTTGCAGACGATTATTTTTCTTCTCGTTTTAGCATTGGCTACGTCATCCTCCAGACTGGCACTATGTGTACTACAGCCTGTGAGCATCTTGTGACCTCAAAGTGTTCTATTGTCCAACCCATCCACAGATCGACAGTCCTGCCAAGGCCTTCGGCTCATTCACTTTGACTCCGCCTACTCGCTCTAGACGTCACACTCAGTGCCTGCAAATCTGGCGGGCATCTTAACCGGGGCCTTTTATGATTCCTACACGATGCTAGCAGTTTTCCATATCCTGCACTTGTTGCCTTCTCTTCTGGATTTTGGCGAGACGATGGCTCTGATTTTGGCCGCCGTGGTTCTCGCATGCGCACGTAGTGCGGAGCGCTCACGTTGTCAGAGCTCAGATCGCAAACAATGTCGCAAACAATGAGCACTCACTCACCAACATCTACGGCCCCCAAGCTCTCTAAGCTTATCGCTGTCATAAGAAAAGCCAAAAGAGGTCCCCGAAAGATCTTCTCTATGCCAGTTTCCACTATCATGTGCTGAAAGTTGATACAAGCGTCAACTGGCCGCCCTTGGCTCCTGTCTAAATTGAGCCAATAGCCTACTGGACCCATAGCGGCGAGCTGCGTTTCATTGGCGAAGGCCTTAGATGCGAAAGTCCGATGACTAAAATAGTTGGGACACGTGGAAAATAGAACAACCCGTGATTTTAGCATCTCTGCTCTCGAGAAAGTGCATCGGTATCTTGGATGGCCTTTTCAGAAGCCTCATCAAATCCCCTCCCCCCCCCCGACTTTGTTCACAAGTGGCCTGGATTCTCCGCCTGTTTGCTATCACTTGGCGACTCATGGCTCTAGTCTGGTGGCAGCAACGCCTCCAGAAGAATTCTATTCCCTGGCAGATGTAACTTCGGTCACATTGATTGCGTGCTTTGGAACTGACGTGACAGAAGTGTGCCGGCTACACAACCAGCGCCATCTGAGCTTTCTTCACAAAGCTTACAGTACCGGGAAGCCACAGGCACACACCTCTCAACCCTTATAACTCTCCCGAAACGTTCGAAGGGAAGTCGATTCAGTTTCTTGGCGTGAGAGCCGCCTCCGGCAGCTTCCGGCAGAGCCGCTTCCGGCAGCCGCCACACTTATAAAGCATTTTGAAGGTACAACTCAGAACCTTTTGCTTATAACATGAAGTTGACTTCCTCTCAACGGGCAGAGGGGCTTCGTTAAGCTTATGGTATAACGCACGTACAGTTAGTTATGTACGTTGCACAATTTCTTGTGCAGCATGCTTTATCTACAATGTTCTGTATTCCACGCTAATACAGACGCAATAATCTTACATAAGTGAATAGTTTTGTTGCACATTGTTACCGTTCACTCGCTGGGTTAATGTGCAGACGCAGACAGGCTTCTGCCTTCCTCTGATTACGCATGTGGCTTTGTCTCCTGAGGAAGCAACTAACGAGCTGGCCGAGGGTAATTCTGCAGTCGCCCAAACCAGGTGGGACCTAGACCCTAAGGGCCGGAATGTTCATAGCATCAAGCCCTTCTTGAGCAACTGTTCGGGCCGTAGCCACAATGGCGGGTACAAATATGTAGTGTTGGCACACCTTCGAACTCAGCTACCAGCATGTTTTGAAGCAAGGTCCACCTCAAAGATGTTACTCTGTTCGTTGTGCTGTCTTCCGCTTACTGCATCGAGCATGCCGGCATCACATGTCTTCAACTCAGTGTGCTCCCCTTCAGTGTTGAGCGACGCCGCGCAACTCTCTCTCTCTCTCTCTCTCTCTCTCTCTCTCTCTCTCTCTCTCTCTCTCTCTCTCTCTCTCTCTCTCTCTCTCTCTCTCTCTCTCTCTCTCTCTCTCTCTCTCTCTCTCTCTCTCTCTCTCTCTCTCTCTCTCTCTCTCTCTCTCTCTCTCTCTCTCTCTCTCTCTCTCTCTCTCTCTCTCTCTCTCTCTCTCTCTCTCCTCTCTCTCTCTCTCTCTCTCTCTCTCTCTCTCTCTCTCTCTCTCTCTCTCTCTCTCTCTCTCTCTCTCTCTCTCTCTCTCTCTCTCTCTCTCTCTCTCTCTCTCTCTCTCTCTCTCTCTCTCTCTCTCTCTCTCTCTCTCTCTCTCTCTCTCTCTCTCTCTCTCTCTCTCTCTCTCTCTCTCTCTCTCTCTCTCTCTCTCTCTCTCTCTCTCTCTCTCTCTCTCTCTCTCTCTCTCTCTCTCTCTCTCTCTCTCTCTCTCTCTCTCTCTCTCTCTCTCTCTCTCTCTCTCTCTCTCTCTCTCTCTCTCTCTCTCTCTCTCTCTCTCTCTCTCTCTCTCTCTCTTTCTCTCTCTCTCTGTTTCTTGCTCACCAGCACAGCTGATAGCCCAACCAGCATGAGCTGTACGTGGCGACTACTGCGAGACATTCAGCTCTCAAAAAAAGATCAACGGGAGGCGGGTGGCTGCGAGTGATAAAGTTAACAGCTAACGGTGCACGACGAGACTCCCGCCTCAAGGCCAGGCGTACAGTCAGGGTCCCCGTCCCAATGTCAGGCATAAGGCCAGGCCACCAGCCCAGGGTCAGGTGCAAAGCCAGGGTTATGCTCCAAGGTCATGTATAAGACCAAAGTCCCGTCCCAGGCCAGCTACATAGCTAAGGTCCTGTCCCACAACATGATCATGCTGCTTTAACTATTCGAAGTCACACCGCTACCATGGGGGGTGCGTCCCCTCCACGCCTGGTGGACAGGTTTACTGTACCACAGCCCAGCCAGTCGTCTGGCGCTCAGTAAAACTCGATCTGGAGGACGAAAGCCGTGCACTCCGATGGCTTAGTGGTAAGTACACCTTGCATTCGATCCATCCGCCCGCGGCGGAATGGGTTCGTGTCTCTTTTAGCGCTCGCTATCTGCCCTTGACGGAAATCGCGGCGACCGGTGGCAGCGGCCGCGCTAAAGGTCATATTTGATCAGAAGGCGGGACGAGCCGCACTTATCACCGTGGCACGTTAAACTTTCGCCACCAATTTCTGCCGTTAACCAGGAATTTCACGATCGGGTTGCACCTGAGCGGATGAACGGCGTGTCACTCCATACCATCTAAATAATTCACAGCGCTTTCCGCAAACATGTTCCGCAAAGCCACCTCCTACACATCGTCGAGAAAAGGTCACTGGAGTGGCGAGACGACACTTTGACAAACGATGTTTCCGGTGATAAATAATGGACCGAATGAAGTACGGTGAACGTTATAACTGGACAGCTGGGAGCCATTCCATCTCCTGGCAGTGAGTGGCGCCGGGCAGATGGCATCTGCAACTCACCGTGTAATCTGAAGTCCTGCTTCAGGACAAAGTCCCAGATGGCCGTGAAGATGACCTCGGTGAAGAAG